CTGTCCCATATGCCTGCTGTCCGGTATCTCGGTTCTGATATATCTACAGTCTTCAGTAATAAGGATGAGACACAAATCGGTTTGAACGACTTCGGGAGGGTAGGGTTCGTTTTCCCTACTTTGGGGATGAAGTAGATAACTCATTTGTACTTTTGTATGGTACCTATCAATCGTAATCGTGATTGTATATGATACGCAATCTGAAACACTAGACGTGCTACGTAAGAGAATTATGGAAGAATGCCGATTATTAACACCAGACGTCTTCAGTGATGTTCGAAAAGAATCTGAAAATATTTTTTATCATTATTTGCAAGTTATTGAAGGTCATTTTGAACTATACAATAAATAAAACTTCAATTTTTCGATAGCTTATTCAATTGTAGACTATTTTATTTTTGGTTAATTGAACGACACAACAAAAAAGAGGTATGATGGAGATGTAGTAAATGAATAGCTTCCAATGAGGGCTTACATTATATTTATTGACCACCAAACCGCGCTACCGGTTGGTAGAACACTGTGGTAGAACTGATAAATTGGATTTAGGGGAGGGCGTCCGGGGCTACAGCCCCAGGGCCTCCACAAAAAAGTGCCCCCCGCAATAGACACTTCGAAGTTCGAAAAAAAATCTTCAGAACTCCGACGAGTAAACACTAATTATCCTTTTTCTTTCTTATTTTTCTTTTGTATGAAAAAGTTTTTTTCGAAGTTTTATCTATATAGTAATTTGTACAAACATGTTTTTTTATACCTATAAATATTAAAATATAATTTATCCATATTTGTCCACTCCAATCTGAAATTATCAACTTGTCAAATGTAATGAGTTGGTTCATTTTGTATCTTCGATCAACTTCCCAAACATTGAAATTGCACTAAGCATGTATATTTGGTTTTGATGATATCTAATTGCAATGGAGAGCGCTCATGTTCAAAAATGAAAATTATGAAAAATTGACATCGAACTGCAATGGAACAAACCCGTCTACCAATAAAGCTATCCCTAATTAGCATTGAGAGTGATTCATTCAGGGAACTTGATTTCAACGAAATCATCAACGATTTTTTTCTGTAAAAAAGCAATGTTCCATTCGATAAACGCAAAAATTCAGTTTCAGATAATTCTTGTTTATGACTATATTTATATATTATGTAGTTGAAATAATAAATTATATAAATTATTGAATGAGAAAATTTGTTTATTATATTTGGAAAATAATCAGGGGGCTTCAATACTTTGTTACCACACTGCTTCCAGACCCCTAAATCCTGCTTCTTACGAAAGGGCTTTTACGATGTATTGGAAGTCGGGTAGTTCCATTTGATATTTCAAAGTCGGGGTTTACTCTAGGGTTTAGGGAAATGAACATATCGAGTTGGATTGAATGTAGAAAATGATCCCCTCAAGTATAAACCTCGACGGGTCCTTGCGATTTCCTGTAGAGGATTCGGTTATGTAGTTATATAGGGTGTTCCATTGAACTAACGAAGTTGGTACCAATTTCTTATATCAGCGATATCCATTTGTTTCACCTCGTACAATTTTATGGAGGTTCAGAAAAAACCCTACAAATTTTGTATTGGAAGTTTCTTCAATGATGAACCCTGTATAGAAGCTGTTTAAATATAGGAATGATGACCCTGTACCTAAAGCAATAGAATTGAAAACATTGAAAACTATTTGATTATGAGATAACATATGTAGATCAAGAGATAAAATACTCAATGTTTTCTACATAAACCCCGAGATAAACCCTTTTCAGTCATTGTCAATCACATGTAAAAAAATTAAAATGAAACTTTTAGTGATTATTTTGACAGTTTACCTTTCCTGTAAGTATCTAGGTGTATTATAGCAGATATGATGCCTAACCATACATGATGATACATTTTTCAGTCGAAAAGTATTTATATGCATTCAATAAACTTTATGGACGATCGGGCGTAAAGAGGCACTTTATCGGGCGGTAACAAAATCAGGTGGGCGATGAAGTAGGTAACTTCACTGTTATTCCAGTAATTTCTAGTAGACTACCATTCAATCTGACTTAGCCAGTGGCATACATATTCAATTTGGCCAAATGAATTCAAAATCATTAATAATAAATTCCATATTGACAGTAAATAAATGTATAAAACGGTTGTATGTATTTCGGGAGTAACTTGCTTTTATGTACCTAGGCGTCTTACTTACACACTGCGGTCCATATATAAAAGCGTACTTTGAGCCCTTGATACATAAATAACTAATATTACCATCCTAGAAGGGTTTTTAAGCGCGTATTTGCAAAGATTTATATAGTTTCACATGTTTTCAGATTTTTTCTATTCATGCCCTAATTTTTTTAATATTTCAATCACTTAATTTATCACCTACCCACATATTACATGTACGTCTAATGTACAACAAAGTACGTCCAATTCGAAAATTGAGGATGTCCTGATTGTTACATTTTTCTATGTATAATGTATAATGAATATGCTCATGTTTGGAAACACATTTCTGAACATTATTCATTGGACGTACCAAATCAGACAATAAACGTTCAGTGGACTTCCATTTGATGAAAAATTTCCAAAAAATTCATGACACGATAGTCGAATTTACGCCACTGGGTATGTTTTATATTGATCACATCACAAATAGTTTTTCCAATAATTGAAATAATCACCTCTTATAAACGCTAGCAAACAATAAAAGAATATGTATCACATTCTACATAGCAATGAGAATTCACTTCCACCGTAGGAGTGTAGTGAGATACACAAAATGCATAGGTCGTATCTAAGATGCCTCTAGTATAAACATCTCAGTCGTATCGTATATAGTTGCATCGGATTGATCACGAGTGTATGTGTCACGGTCAGCTGGGCACATTTTTCAACGTTTTTCCTGCTTTAAAATATCGTGGAATTCGATGATTATTTCAAAAATGCACACGCAGCATCACAAAACAAGATCATAATATATCAAATTTCCACTTTACACCCTGTGTAAGTTTAGTTCTGTTGATTTTGTCTTATCATTATAGATGTCCTTGAAGTCGATATCTAATAACGAAAACCTCAAGAGGTTGTCGAAAAATAATCAAATTCTAAGTGGTGCACCAAATGTGTTGATACTTGTTGCATAGTGTAATTTATCTACTACCAATATGTGATGTGAAACATACGACATTGATTTTAGTTTCGTAATGAGACACTTTACCCGGTAAAGTGTTACTTCACAGCACTAGTGCGGTAAAGTGAGAAATATATTTTCAAATTCGACCTTCGGCCTCGTTTGTTTTTCCCATCTCATATCCTAATATGGATTTGTACGATAATTGTATAGTAAATATCTATTACATGATTTGAAATGCATGAAATTAAAGATTGATCAACTTTGTTGATTGTGCATATACTCAATCATAGTTGAATAAACGAGTTTCAAAATTTTTAGTTATCCATTATACATCATGAGCAGGCTAAATGTATTATACATTATGTTCTCAAACGTACTATGTTCTAGAATGATGAAAATCGGTACAGGTGTGTTTTATTATGTGATCCTAACTGAGAATTCGTCGTCTTAGGTGGAAATAGTCCGTAAGTACTATTACAGCCCGAAAATGAAGTGACTCATTTGTATGTACATTTCAAATATGTACCTTGTTGTAAAGTTAAGAATGAATAGACCCAGATATTAGGTTTTTATTAACAAGAAAGACAGACATTGACAATGAATGAATGAAGGTAACGCGATCAGCACTTATCAATACTGGCCGGATGACCAAAAGATGAGAAGTGAAGTCCAAACTAATAATATCACATACCTAACTAAAAAATACATCAAAATCGTTAATAAATTAAGGTTTCACAGGGGTAGGGAGACCTTATAAGGTTATACATGGAATAACTTCCACATAGTGAACCTTTGATATCAATATTTAACCTACTCAGAAAAATGCACCCATACAAAATTCAATGATAGTTAATACCTCCCAATGATCCATTAACTTACGTTTATCAACCAGTGAGGAAGTCAGCGAGCGACGCTCCTCGACAATCATCCCCATAAAATCTTCAATGATAGTGACCTGTTATAATGTTCCATATTCATTTACGTTTTTCTACTAGAGGGATATTCAGCTATAGCGAACCGTCTAAGACAATCATCCCCATAAAATCTTCAATGATAGTGACCTGTTATAATGTTCCATATTCATTTACGTTTTTCTACCAGGAGGAAATTCAGCTAGCGAACCCTCTCCGACAATCATCTCCATAAAATCTTCAATGATAGCGAACCCTCTCCGACAATGATAGTGACCTCTAATGATCCAATAATTCACGTTTTTCTACCTGGGGGAAATCAGCCAGCAAAGCCTCTCCGACAATCATCCCCATAAAATCTTCAATGATAGTGACCTCTTAATGATCAATTAATTCACGTTTTTATACCAGGGGGGGAATAATCCAGCAAACATCCGACAATGATCCCCATAAAATCTTCAATGATAGTGACCTCTTTATGATACATTGATTTACGTTTTTTTATCCAGTGGGAAGCGAAGCGAGCGAACCCTCTCCGACAATCATCCCCAGAGAAAATGGACTCAGAGGTTCTGGCATAACCACCAGATATTGGGACTGCTGCAAACCCTCTTGCTCATGGACTGACCACGTCAACTACACGAAAACCGCAATACCAGTAGCCTCTTGCTCGGTAGACGGCGCCACCCAGATAGACGCCGGCGCACAGTCAGGCTGCGCAGAAGACGGATCTGGTGAAGCATACACTTGCTCCAACCAACAACCCTTCATAGTGAACTCGACTCTAGCCTATGGCTTCGCAGCCGCCTCTTTTACGGGAGGTGAAGATTACGGATGGTGCTGCTCGTGCATGCTGCTCTCTTTCCAAGGCCAACTGGCTGGCAAACAATTGCTGGTGCAGGTGACCAACACCGGAAGCCCGTTGGCTGTCAATCAGTTCGACATCGAGATTCCCGGAGGAGGCGTGGGTTTGTTTCCCCATGGTTGTGCTGCGCAGTGGGGAGCTGATCCGGAAAAGGGCTGGGGCGTGAGATATGGAGGGGTAGGTTCTGCGGAGGAATGTAGTCAACTACCGGAATCTTTGCAGGAAGGGTGCCGTTGGAGGTTCGGATTCATGGAGGGAGTTAGCAATCCAGATGTTACGTTTTATCAAGTCGAATGTCCATCAGAACTGGTTGCTATTTCCGGATGTGATTACTGATGTTCAGAAGAAATATAAAATGTTTTAATAAAGCTTGATTACCTGTCGATCTTTGTTTTGATATCTATATAGTTAGGGTTGCCACCCGTCCTGCATTCCGCGTGATGTCCTGAATTTGAGGTACTTCGTCCTGCGTCCTATCGAGATCACTTGCAGGACGCTAAATGTCCTGAATTTTGTGGCCTATCGAGGTGACATCATCAACACGGTCTTATGAAGCTTCTTAGCTATGAGTGAATATTCATCTGTAAGTATAAGGAGGACAGATATATATATATATAGAGTGCAGAAATACTCCATCAGTTTTGTTCAACGGAACTTGCTATGCTTTTTCGGAGACGCACGTTCTGGACGATTTTTCTTCGAGGAGGCAGCACTTATATGATCGAAATTTTATTAGCTTGAGTTTAATAGTAGCTCAAATTCAAGTGAAGTGATAGAGTCCAGTGAGTTATAATGGTGGACATCAGAGAGGGAGAAAAGGTTTCTTGGAAGTGCAGCAGTTATTTGAAAAGCATCATTGATCTACCACCTCTCAATGCCTATTGTATCAATCATGTAACGATGTAACGATGGCACTCCTAGAAATGAATAGATCCGATGAAAGCGCGCCAGCGACGTATCATGAATGTTCAAGAAGCGGTTGTTAGGTGAGGTTAACTAAGAAAATAATGGATGACAGTAATTTCGTACTCGGCTAAGCAGTAGAGTTTCATAATGCTAACTTTGCTGCTGATGGGTGGTTATCATATTGTTGTTGATATCGAGAAGTGATGTACCTTGCAATCGTTATTGCTATGGCATTTGAGAAAAAATGAGAGCATTAACTTTTATTCCCCGAGGGATTAAAAATACCCTTTCATTCCCCGAAGTGCGTAAACTATTAACATTTTTCAATCCGGTTAACACTCGGTCTCTTATGCTTTGTTGAACTTCTCAACATTTTCATTGAAATTATATATGTCCCAATTTTTAATTGATTTTCTTGCATTTTCAAATACTTGGTCATGAAAATCATAAATTCAAAGGTGGCAACTTATATATAGTTTTAACCATTTAATAAAAACAAACAAATAATATGAAATGAACATTAGCGGGTATAGTGAACTTAAATGTTATGAATGAAGGGACTCGCATTTATATCTCGTACCGGGTACAATTAATAATGAGGTTCCCGGACTCAAATGCATGCATGATATGAAATGAACAAAACACTTTTTTTATCAACACGCAATGTTTCTATACTGGAATCCTAGAGCAGGGGCATCATTTCAGGAAATACTAAGGCGTGGAGGAACTGATAAAAAATGTATAGTAAAAAATGTGCCGCAGACGAAATTTTTTCAGGGTTGACGGTCGCCTCAAAATTGAAAATTAGATTTCTTTTAGAGTGAAATAAACTCCATAACATTATTATTATATTGTGAATTATTTCATATTCTTATTTTGTTGTGATTGAGGAAAGGTAATCCCAAAGAATCTGGAAAAACAAAAAAGTATTTTGAGAACGAAAAAATGGAATAATTTCTTTTATATTATTATAAATAAATTCGTAATTATCTCAATAAGGTTGAAGATTATGTCAACTATTGATTGATTGGTGATAATTATTTTTATCAAGCAAGAGATGAGATATAGCTAATTTTTTTCAATTCAGCGAAGTAATTCAGAGATTCCCTACTTCATTTCAATATTTTCAGCTCATGCCAATCAACAACAATCACTCTTCAAACAAGCTATTAATAAGTAAGTACCTACTTTCCTACTTATGCCAATTGTAAAAAACAAGGACGGTCCTACTGGGGAATTGAGGGGTATAATCACCCCCCCCCCTCTCATAGAAAGAATGGTGAAAATAAAATCAAAAAGAAAATTAACAAAAACAGATTGAACTGAGGCCGCCACAGTTTGCAAATTTTCCAAAAAAAATCACAACAATTTTCATTGCGCACCAAAGCACTAGTGTCCCCAGCAAACACAGTTCATCACAGAGATATAGCAGCGATGTACAGATTGTGACCTGCGATATCGCATTCTATGTCGCATAATATGTCGCCTGCTGCGATGCCAGAGCGATGTTATTTCGTCCCACTCAAGTTTCATCCATGAGACGTCGCTGCGATAAGTTCTCTGCGATATAACAGCGATATAATGTAATTTCGATATGTTATTTGTGATGGAAAAACGATGTGTCTGCGATAAAACTACGATGTGATGCGAGATGATATTAAAACGTTTCTTCGAACATGGTGTGATAATACACCACTGACCTCTCATGACATCTAATAATATTGATTATGCATTGTTGTGACTGGTTGGTGGTCCCACATGTGTACATCGCAGCGATGCAACCTTCGTGATATCGCGCAGTGTTGCCTTACCGCGACATCTCAGGGATGTCATGATGCAGATGTGTTTGCTTCTGTACAACGCAGCGATGGAACATTCGTAATATCGCAGTGTTACCTAAACGCGACATCTCAGAGATGTCATCACAGATGTGTTGGCTGGGTCATTTTCTGGCAGCTTTCGCAATTTTCTATTCATATTGTAGTAATTCGTATTACTGGTGCAATTCTATAGTGATGAATTGGTGGATTTTCAGTATTTCAGGAATGTATGCAACAGATGCAAATTAAATGTTACTATTCTGTTAATTCGCTGATATTTTTGAATGGCTGAAGGCAGTGAAGGCGCAATTTTTACGTTTTAGGATATTCTGATATTTGGTTTTATACTAATACCTACTTACATTTCCCAATTTAATATACAGGATGTTACAAATTCGTGGCTAAGCAAGGGATCTCAGTAGTCATAAAAGATATAGAGTAGGTCAAAATAGGACAAAAAAGAAAAACTATGCAAAATCGTTTTTATTATTATTATATTATATTATTCCTTATTTTTTAGTTTTTTTGGAGAGAAATATCGAAATGAATGTTAGGTACTTCATAATTGCCACTTTTCCTCTAGATAATGGAATTGTCAAATTTGAAATCCGACTTTTCTTCTTCGAGTGGCCATCAACAACTTTATATTTTTAAATACGGATCTGGATTTTTTATCTTATTTATCGATAGTTTTGATCTTCTTGATATGATGGTGTACCAAAACAATTCATAAAATGTTTACTTAAGTGAAAATAAAAAGTTCATAGAAGGTATGGAGATATATTCATCTTGTGTAACACAGAGTGTTTTCTATTTGTTATTAATTTGTCTTTGTCTAACACATTATTCAGTGGGAAGTACTTCATCATTGTTCTTATTCAAAATGAATTATTAGTTATACTAATAAGCCAACAATAGAAACAGAGGCTGACAGAGGTTTGGTAGAACACCGTTTATAAAAACGGTTCTATTTTGCCAACATTGAAGAACTGCGACAGCAAATTATAACCGCTCTTCGATTTTTCCGAAGGCGAACATTTCAAAGAGCTGTGAGAAGAGTTTTAGAAAAAGCAAATAAATGCTTGAACGCAAACGGAAATATTTTTGATCATTTGCTATAGAAGAAAACTTATCTAATATTATTTTGGATATCATTTGTTTGATAAAATTGTGTTTTCTTCATTCATATGAATATTATATATTTAAAAAAACACTTGATTAATTTTCATTGTTGGCTTCTTATGACTAATAATACATTTTGAATAAGATCAATTCAATTATGAAGTACTTCGCACTGCACGAGGTGTAAGAAAGACTAAATAATAACAAAAACATTTGTGTTAGACACAGATGACTATCTCCATAATTTTAATAAAAAAAAATTTCAATGAATTGTTTTGGTACACCTTCATATCGAATAGATCGAAACCTATCGGAAAATTGAATGAAAATTCCAGGTCCGTATTAAAAAAATAAATAAATTGATGGCCGCTCGAAGAAGACACGTCGGCTTTCCAATTTGACAATTTCATTTAGTAGATGAGAAAAAGTGGCATAGATGATGAGACATTCATTTTGGAATATCTCTTCAAATAAACTGAGAAATAATTGAAAACGATTTTGCATATCTTCCTACTTTTCCGGATATCTCCGGAAATAAATTGGATTTTTCAAATTTCAAAGCAGCATTTTGTTGAGCATGAAATTGCACAACTTTGCCCTAATTTGACCTACTCTGTATCTCTCGAGCTTATTGAGATCCCCATGTTCAGCCACGAATTTGTATCACCATGTATATATGTGTAAAATGGGCTACCTATAGTCTGTATGCATTTACTCCTTATCATCTTGTCGCGTCCTATTACCAGAGTAAACAAGATTTAAATAGGTGATATAATCCAGGGTGTTCGGAAAGGTCATGTTATAAATGATATAGGGCTGGTAGACCAAAATAATGTTAGCATGTATTTCATATGAAAAAATCTATCGCTAATTGAACTTATTTGTTCCTAGAGAAAAATTTTGAAAGCGATTGAATGGGCATAAGTGGGGCAGACATGATATAATAATGAAGTTACGAGGCCACGCCTGGCTCATCAATCTTGCCGTCTCACGACAATTTATTCACATTGAAAACACGAAAATTAAAATACAGCCGGTTGACGGTTCCGAAGACACTGCCAAATACTAAAATGTCTCTTAACCTCAATAAAACTTTACGTGTGACAAGTTCTATCATAATTTCATAAATTTTTAAATAAATTAAAATGCCATCAACTTCGCTAAAATGGCAATTAGCATTCGGTTTGGGAGCAGCAGGCGCTTTAGGTTTAGCCTATTGGTATTTAAAAACCAACAAGAATCAGACATTACAAACTGTAGAAACTGTAGTTCCAAAGGAAGAAACCCAATTTCAGAAAGCACAAAGATACAAAACTGAAGGTAATGAAATGTTCAAGCGAGGCAAATATGATGAGGCTATATCACTATACAATAAGGCGATAGACACAATTCCTGAAGAATTTAAAACAGATTTAGCTACATATTACCAAAACAGAGCTGCAGCTTATGAGCAGTTGAAGAAATGGAGCTCAGTAATTTCAGACTGCACAAAGGCTATTGAGTTGAATAATCGTTATGAAAAAGCTCTTTATCGAAGGGCTAAAGCTGAGGAAATGATCAAAGATTGGGTACATGCCCTTGATGATATTACATCAGTATGCTTGTTGCAGAATTTCAGCAATCAAAGTGCTCTTTTGATGGCAGATCGTGTTTTGAAGGAATTGGGAAGGAAAAATGCCTCTGAAGCTATAAAAAATAGAAAGCCAGTAATTCCTTCCAAAAATTTCATAAAGACTTATTTTGTATCCTTCTCAAATGATCCTGTCTACAAGAAGCTCCTTGAAACTACTGATCCTTTGGGTCAAGGTGATTTAACAGGCTTCCTCAAAGCTAAATTAGCATTTGCTACTGAAAAGTATGAAGAAATTATACCTGCATGCACTGAAGAACTAAATTTCAGTGAATCAGAATCCAGCTACAAGCTTGAAGCTTTATCTCTGAGGGCATCATTCTATTTCTTGACAGGACAGTTCACACTAGCATTAGAAGATTTAACATCCATAATAAACACAAAAGATGCTGACTCTTTAATAAAAGTTAATGCTCTCATCAAAAGGTCCTCCATTTATATGCAAACTGAAAGAATTCAAGAGTGTTTAGCAGATTTAGAAACTGCATCAGAGTTAGGTCCAGATGTGTCAGGTATGTATACATCTATTGTCATTACTAAAATACAATTCTGCACCCAAGGAATTTTTTTTCTGCCTTCAGTATTTTTCATAGGTAGGCAGTCATTTCCTGAAAGATTTTCATTAAATCAGCTAAATTACTAATTGAATTCTAAAAAGGAAAGCATTGCTGTGATATTTTGGTAAACAGGTAATTTTTGATATATTTTCAGTTAAATTCATTCCTGCACATGCATGGAAAAAAATATAAAGCCTCCAAAGGCATTTAAACAATATTTGTTTCATTAATATGTTTCATAAAATGTATTATGCATGTTCACAAAATAATTCAAATACAATTATTCATAAGGCATTTTTCTTCATCAGAAATCAATGAGTAATTGAGGTGATTACTGATTTTTTCAAATGTATCCAGTGGCCTGCTATTGGTATCTTTTTTTTCCTTCATTTATACACCTATTTAGGTAGGTACATGGTATAGTAAATTACAAGATGTTTGACATTATGATGAAAACAAAAAAGAATCAAACAAAAAAACTACAAGCATACATATTTAAATAAATGCAAAGACATATCACATAACTGAATCAGTAATTATTGAAACAAACTAAAGAGTGTATGCAATGACAAATATGTTGTTCCATTTCTCTAGCTAGTATTTTTTTTTAAACTGAACTTCAACTGAATTTTGAACCTTTGGGACCTGTGTTTCCTTACCACTGACACAATAAGGGCTACATGCTCTGCAGTGACGTCACGTTACATAGGCCTAGTTTATGAGTGTAATTATTTTTGTCTCCTAGGATTAATTCATCATTATAAATTCGGTCCCCTTTAAGAAATTCAAACGTGAATTTTTTTTAGTGTAATATAGCACAATAACCTGCCGAATCAGTTAATATTGGCATGTCATGTTCTTTCTGTGGGGTTACATCAAAATCATTGTGTTTCGCGAACCCCCAACCACACGCGAGAATATGAAAGATAACGCCTGCTATGTTGGAAGCGACAATGCGGAATTTTGAAAAACGAGTGAACTTGTGTATTCAAAAAAATGGAGGTCATTTCGAACACTTGATAAAGTAGTCAATCTCACTTAAAACCAGCTTTAGTCTGACCTAAATGATACCTTGATTGCTGAAACATGCTTATTTTTCTATGTAGAGGTGTCAAGGGTAAGTAAGTTCGTTTAGCGTTAATTTGTCGTGTGAATATCACCCCAATGGCGTTTGTCTGGGAAAATATCACACCCTACACTCTTCCTCGTCTTCAGGGGGTTGAAATGTGTAAATAGTGAAATATTGTTTTTTAAGATCGCAGCGCCATCTTGTGAAAATAAAAAAGAAGTTCCCGAATAAAAGCTTCATAGTTTTTAATGCTCTTCCAGAATCTGCAATAAAAAATAGGGGTTTCCATTAAAGATTTCAATGTTACCTCCATTTCCCACTCCCCTGGGGGTCAGGGGGTGAAACTTGTTTTATAACCAGACGTCCCACTCCAAACCATACAACTTTTATTCGTCAATTTTTTTTGTCAGATGCATACATTTCGAGAAATTTCCAAATGAAGATTAAAATGGGACACCCGGTATAATAACCAAAAATTCTTCAAATTCTGTGTAGCAAAATAATATTTTTGGTAGTTTTTGAATTCCAATTTACTTTCAACCGAGCTCTCAACAGTTGCTTCTGCCTAATTTTGAGTCTCAATTATCTATGATTTTTCATCCTGACTTGGGCCTAATTTCACATCTTTCGATCATGAACAGTTGGAAATTGAGTAGGAACAGCATCTCATCCTTTGGGATTTCAAATCTATTACAGTTATACCAGTTTCCGAATCGGTAGATGAATTTATATTGTTGTAAAATTGTAAAAATTGTTCTATCCGTCATTCGGTTGCCCCCTTACGAGCAACCCTCTGAAGTCTTCGAGAGTCTCTTGTGCGAGCAAGGAATGACGGGGGCCTTACCTTTTAACGTGTGATCCCAAACACTTTCTTGGGCCATCAGAAAATTTTCTGCAGTCGATGGGAATCGAACCCACGACCGGCAAGCGAATGCGGATTCGAATATAGACACTCTGTCCGCACGGCTACCTGGCCCCCCAATAGTATCTTCAGTAAAATGTAATGGGCGAGTGGCCTGATGATGAATTATTAGCATTCAATTACTCCACTGTGTCCTTTTACCTACATTTATTTTTGCAATGAGTCTGCATTGTTCGAAATTGTTGAATTTCAGAGCTCATTTCAAATGAACCATCATGGCCGCCATTTGGCGATACGTCGGATAAATGGTGACGCCAGTTTTCATGCTGTTTTGTTATTGGTCAGATAATCTTACATTTCCACTCATGAAGCAAGGTTGTCAAGTCACCAATTATAAACAAGTTATCGAAAAGATGTTAGAGTCCTATCCGTGAATAAAACATAATAGGAGGAACCCATGATAGTGTAATGATATTCCCCTTAGAGGGGCTTTAGAAACATCAGCAGGAAGGCAGGAGTACAACGATCATCCTGTATCACGCATCCCAGATTGCTCTCCAACCTCTCAATGATTCCTACCTACACCAGCATATTTCCGAACACTCAATAGATGCTGCAGTGACAAATAACGTCACAGAAGATTCTGGAATGTTCTGGAAACAATCGATGGAACAATTAGAGAGAGAGGTTTTGTTCTAAGAAGCTTCTAGAACAAAAAGAAGGAGACGGAAGATCATTCGAGAACTTTCTCGAACCAAAGCCTGCCATGTGTTCTCATATATAAGACGGCCGAACAACTGAGTCAGGCAGTCAAACAGCGAGTGTCAGAGAGACAGTTATATACCGCGTGTTATAAATCGTTTTACATAAATAGTAGTTATAAGTTCGATATAAATTAGTGTTTCTCTAGTTCAAATAAATCAGTTCGAAAATAAATAGTGTCGCTTCTGCACCCGAATAACGTAACAATATTATAGTTCATTCTTGAATTTTTCGAGCAACCGGCATGTCCAAATATGTCTTATTCTTCATAACAAAATACCATGTAAATGTTGGAGACTGGGCAACATTGTGCTGAATGCTGAGAACTGACATGACCACTTCCACAAGTCGTGCGCCGTGTTGTCACGTTCACCGATTCAAATGTCCTCTAGTGTGAATTAATATCATTATTATTTACACATACATATTATAAGCAATAAGCCACAAATCATTAGGAAACATTTTGAGACAATTGAATTTTTATTGCTAATTAGGAATATCACCAATACTCAATTGAGAATTTATGAATTATTGAATAACTAATATTTCCGAAGTTCCCAATCGTATTTCAACACATGGCAACTGTGCTATGGTCTGCCCCTACTTATGAAATCGTGGCATCAGAATTTACTGGCGGTATCTAGCCGTTTAAAAATTACCGTGGCATCATTGAAGATTTTAGCACCTAAAAATCGACCGAAAAATTCTCAAAAGATATGAAATTGAAAGTCATTTGAGTGATGATGATTCTATTAAAGAAATTAAAAAAATAGTCCACTCGTCTATTCACATACCTTATACTCTAAGTAGCCGTGTTTGGTATGAACAACCCTTCGGTGATGTAAAGAGGTGCTTACGTCAGAGCATTGTGGCCTTGTGCAGTGTGCCGAATTTGATGAGCATCACTTCTATATTTCCTCAGATATGGAATAATCAATCTTAAATGCCCTGATTTCGAGTTGAAGGGGGAATGTATTGCGAAAAGTCTCCTTTTTCACGAATCTATATTACCTCTCAAAACCAATGTATGCATGGTGGGTCACGGTCGATGGTATCTTAGACGTTTACGGAGAACGGGACATATGATCATTCTAAAAATTTGGTTACCCAAGTAGTTGCTCTTGGTCTATCGATGTAAAATATTTTCAGCAATGCAGCGTTGCCGCCAGTGGCGGATCTACGATTTCTGGGGCCCTAAGCTTGATAATTCTTGGGGCCCTTGTGGCCCCTACCCATCATTTTTTCTCCTCCTGTTATTTCTTCTCACCAATTTTCCCATCTAACATTTTCTGACCAAATAGAAGCGAAAAATGCATGATGAAAATATATAGGATATAAGGAACAAAAAAAAAGTGCATTCATTGATATGGTTTAGGATATAATAACAAATAAAAAAAATCAGAGCCACATGAAATAAAATGAACGTAACTATAACACTGACTAGGATCAGATACGTTCAAAATGAAAGAACTAAACCGTAACGAAATTACTAGGAGAAACATACTACGATATCACTTCCAATTTTCTGATTCACGAATCTGTGAATACTTTCATTGCACCATCATAAATCGAACTGCTCATCAAATCACTTCCGATGGAAAGCATTCCCAAAGTTTGTTATGTTCTCTTCGGAATAAGGTACACAATTTGATTTGATTATTGATAATTTTGAAAATAAACGCTCTCCTCCGCAATTGGTCACTGATGGCAGTGTTGAAAACAAGTTCAATGTAGTATTTTTGCATTGAAAAACACGTTCATCATTCCTTCAGTATATAGGGTCCCGCCGATTTCATAGGAACATTATTACTATTTCCTCAACGGTATACGTTTTGCAAATGAAAAAAAAATTCCGTTCCTGAAAAATTGGAATGAAAAAACAGAAAATCATTTTGTTTCTACTGTTGATATTTTATCTAAATCAAAACGGCACATGTTTTTTTTTTTTCAGTTTACAAAATGCCATATCGAGGAAGTTATTGAACTTTTGTCGGATTTAAGCAACTTTCTTTCCCTTAACCGGCCCACTGTCGCTATGAGATCGGCAGCTTATGGTTTTCAACATTTTTGGAATGTTGCCGCTGCTTCTAGATATATAAAAAAAATACCTATTGCTCAAAAGAGAAATTCATTTCAATCATTATTTCATCTATACAAACGAATGATATGGGAAAATAGTCATGCAATGCCGGGGTCCCTCGGGGGCCCCTGCAAGGGTCGGGGCCCTAAGCTTGAGCATACTAAGCGTACCGGTAAATCCGCCACTGGTTGCCGCTCATACCAGAAAGTAGTACCAACTTTGATATTTCAAATGGAACACCCTGTACTTCATTGCATTTTTAGTTTCTCCTGAAGAGCTGATTTCATGAATGGCTCACACTTGGCATCTAGCGGGAATAAATATAGAGATAGAGGGTATTCAAAATCGATATTTTTCCACTTCAGGATTTTTTGTGTCGAAACCATTAATTATCGGTGAAAACGGCTCTCATGCCCTTGTCTTAACTTTTCATTCACTATCTAGTGACATTTAATTGGAACAGATATATGGTGGTTCAAGATTCAGAATTCTGATCACCCTGTCTCTGTTCCAATTGTTAAATGTCAGTAGATAGTAAATCAAAAGTTGAGATAGGAACATGAAAGCCGTTTTGGCTGATAATGAATAGTTTCGACACAAAGAAATCTTGAGTTTGAAAAATCTCGATGTTGAACACCCTATATCTCTGTAATCATTTCCGCTAGACCCTAAGTCTGATACATTGATGATTTCAGCTCTTCAGGTATAATCTGAAAATGCAATGAAATACAGGGTGCTCTATTGAAATATCAAAGTTGCTACTACTTTCTGGTATAGCGGCAACGCTGCATTGCTGAAAATATTTTAAATCGATAGACCAAGAACAACTACTCGAGTAACCAAATTTTCAGAATGATCCTATGTGCCGTTCTCCGTAAATGTCCAAGATACCATCGTTCGTGACCCACCCTCTATACAGGGTGTGTGTGTTACAAATTCGTGGCTAAGCATGGAGATCTCGTTATCCTCAAGAGATACAGAGTAGGTTGAATTATGGCAAAGTTGCACCAATTCATGCTCAACAAAATGTTGCTTTGAAATTTGAAAAAAAAAAAATAATTTTCGGAGATATCCGAAAAGAAAAAGGAAAATATGCAGAATTGTTTTTATTTATTACTCGCAGTTTATTTGACGAGATATTTCAAAATAAATGTCACTTCATCATTGCCACTTTTCCTCCTCTACAAAATGGAATTGTGTAGTGATTTACGTAACCGCGAAATCGAATAGAGCGTAATAGGACTTTAATTCTTTCTAGGAGACGGTCTTATTGGCTTATTTTCCGGAACTATAGCACAACGCACAACAAAAGCCATCAACAGTGTATACAGTGTGTCCCACTTACCATGCTCACCATGGGTATCTTTTTAACGGTGAGAGATACGAGGTCGCTTAAATGACACCAAATGTGGAGTTTGTCAAGACCAACTATAATGTGAAAAAATATTTTGATGGAATCCATTCGTTTTTGTTTTATACGCAAAAAACAGATTTTGATCATTTTCATGTCTCCTCGGTAACTTCTTTATTTATGAAAATATTCAAATAGGAATTTCACATTCTCATGGCAGTTTTTCAAAGTGGTTTCGAAAAAAATATGAAATTTATACCAACTCTTCTAGAATTTGAGATATCAGCACCAACTTTAGTTTTTCAAATGTAGGTCATAGTCACTATGACTTAGTTACAAAGAACTTTTTTTTCTCTTACAGATGATATGCCGCAGTAATAGTTTTGTGTTGATAACAACGGAGTTATCGTCATTTATACGAAAACAAAAAAATGTTTGGAAGCCGCCATCTTGAATTTAAAAATTTCAACAATAAAATCATGATCTCCTACCTCAAAAGCACCCACTTACCAATTTTGAATGGAATCGGACCAAATCTTGTCCGCCATCTTGAAGCAGCCATTTTTATTTAATTTCAACAAAAATTCCATAATGTATTGTCACCGAAATCATGAACACCTGCCAAATTTCAAGTTAATCGGAGTTATGGAATTTTTGTTGAAATTAAAAAAAAATGGCTGCTCCAAGATGGCGGACAAGATTTGGTCCGATTCCATTCAAAATTGGTGAGTGGGGATTTTTGAGGTCGGAGATCATGATTTTTTTGTTAACATTTATAAATTCAAGATGGTGGCTTCCAAATATTTTTTTGTTTTTGTATAAATGACGATAACTCCGTTGTTATCAACACAAAACTATTACTGCGACATATCATCTGTGAGAGAAAAAGAAGTTATTTGTAACTATGCCATAGTGAGCTATGACCTACATTTGAAAAACTAAAGTTGGTGCTGATATGTCAAATTCTAGATGAGTTGGTATAAATTTCATATTTTTTTCGAAATCACTTTGAAAAACTGCCATGAGAATGTGAAATTCCTATTCGAAAATTTTCATAAATAAAGAAGTTACGGAGGAGACATGAAAATGATCAAAATCTGTTTTTTGCGTATAAAACAAAAACGAATAGATTTTATCAAAATATTTTTTCACATTATAGTTGGCCTTGACAAACTCCACATTTGGTGTCATTTAACCGACCTCGTATTTCTCACCGATAAAAAGATACCCATGGTGAGCATGGTAAGTGGGACACACTGTATATATATGAGATATAAATCCAGGGAAAAAAGTGTACTCACTCCCGTGGGAAAAAAGCAATTTATGAAAAGTGACATTTTGTAACCTGTCAACAGAGATGAAATTTCAAACTTTATTCCTGTCACAGAAAAAATTGTGTTTTCATCCTTCAAAAATATTTTTTCATTAAATAATAAACAATTGTATAATTTTCATTTTTGGTTTGGTATATCTAATAATACATTTTGAAAAAGAGCAATTCAATTATGTAGGAGGTACTTTGCACTGAATAATGTGTTATACAAAGACAAATTAATACAGCGTTTTTGCTGTGTTAGACGAAGATGAGTATCTCCATACCTTTTGAACAATTTTTTCACTGAAGTAAACATTTTATGAATTGTTTTGGTACACCATCATATCAAGGAGATCGAAAACTATCGAAAAATGAGATGAAAAAATTCAGGTCCGTATTTAAAAATTAAGTTGATGATGGCCGCTCGAAGAAGAAACGTCGGATTCCCAATTTGACAATCCTATTTTGTAGAGAAGGAAAAGTGGCAATGATGCAGTGACATTCATTTTGTAATATCTCTTCAAATAAACTGAGTAATTAATAGAAACGATTTTGCATATTTTCCTTTTTTCCGGATATTTCCGGAAATAATTGTTTTTTTTTTTCATTTCAAAGCAGCATTTTGTTGAGCATGAAATAGTGCAACTTTTACCTAATTCAACCTACTCTGTATTTCTTAAGGTAACAGAGATCTCTATGCTTAGCCACGAATTTGTAACACCCTGTATAACTGGAACAACACAGCATCCTGTGAATGATTTTGGCAATACAGTAAGTATGATGTTAAGGTGCTGAACAAATTCGATATTCCTGTCTAACTAATTGGACAGGTTGATTTTGAAATAAATTTCCTGGCCTATATAAAATATATAGGGTGGTGCATACTCAGTATTCTCAGTAAAGATTTGATAGGTGGATTTTAAAAAAGTTCAATATCCATTATTGTTCTATATTTTAATAGAGATTTTCATTATGAATTCAATGATTTCAGTTTGCACCAACAGTTTGACGTAAGAATTTTTGTTCATAATGGTTTGTTGCACCCCTATCAAACCTGATATCCTTCATTATAAAAATCTGAATATGAAATTATAAATAGGACATTCAAAAGTCGCCTATTGAGTAGGTATGCAATTGACCCTGTATTCTTAAAATATGTAAAACAAGTCAGTACATACAATCCCATAAATATAACTTCTGTTCTTGTACTTACATTTGAGATTTTTCAGATGTTTATCATCACAGAGGTCAAGTTAAACTCCTTATGGAGAAAACTGATGAGGCTAGGAGTGATTTCCAGAAAGCTGTCTCACTAAATCCGAATTTCGCAGTAGCAGTGGTACAAAAATCCTATTCAGATTACCGCCAAGCAATGCAGACCCAAGATGTGGGGCTTTTAATGCAAAGCATGAATGATTTCAGATCGGCCATCGAAAGGTTTCCAACTTGTCCAGAAACCTACATACTTTTTGCTCAGGTAATATTGCCACATGAACTTTGCCTATTTATTACTATGTTTGTGAATTTTATTTTTCATTTCATTTTGTCAAATCAGAAATGCAAAATCCTTCACAAATTTGAAATAAAATGCACTCACTGGCAAAAAAACTGACACCACAAAATTTAACCAAATTGTTTTTTAATTCTTGTCAGATTTTGACCAAATCTTATATTCATGTTTTGGAATGTTGGCTTAAAAACAAAAGCAACTTTTTCACCCACTTCTTAACGCATTGTGGCAAAGATGATTGGTAAAATTTAGCATTATTATGCTTTGGATCGACGTGAGATCTCTTCTTAACACAATGGTTTTTTTCAAGAGGAGATACAAGTGTATAGATTTTTCAAAATGTCTATCACCAATCATCCACAACCTTCGTACAAAACCATTTTCCAACCTTCTTCATCATGTTTTGAATTGAAGTGTGCTCCTTTTTCTTCCGTTCTTAACGCAATAGTAGATAGATCCACGTATATCTTCTTTTTTTTTGAATACACGTTTTTTAAAAAAGTATGGATTTTTTAAATTGTTACTAACATTCATTCTGAACCTAGAGATTATCTATTTAGGGATGAACTCCAAAGGCTCCATCGCCTTCGTCCGGCCTTGTCAGAGACTCGTCAATAGCTACGATTCGCCGATCAAGGAGAATTTTAGTCAATTTTTCAGCACTACTTGAGAAATTTAATCAACTGGATGCCACGGCGGTTGATTGCTGTGATTCAAATTCGAGGAAGGCATACCTACTCGTTATTATTGATTACAAGCAGGTCTGACACTACACACTGTTTAACCACTAACCAAACCGATTTTTTAAACGTCTCGACAGTTTTAAACTTCTAAATATCTCAAAGCTTCCATATGCATCTAATTTCCTAACATTATTAACTTGCTCAACTAATTTGAGGTTATTGATATGTGTGTTATGATTGTGATTGAACATGTGTTCGGCTACACACGATTTATCTAACCTACCATATTTCAAATGTGGTAAGTGTTCTTCGAACCTTGTTTTTATGGGACGCCTGGTTTGGACTATATATGTTTTATCGCAATCATCACAACTAATTTTCAAGGGTGTCCACCTTATCTTTTGGATTCCCTACTTTGACCCAGACTGATAAACGCTTTCAAAACCGGGTGGCGGAAATTTGATCGAAAGACAAATGATAGAAAAACATTTGATAGAATTCTTTTGATCGAAAATCAAAAAATAGAAAGAACTTTTCACCGAAAATACATTTGATAGAAACATAAATGATAGAAAATACAATTGATAGAAAAAATATTTGATAGAAAATACACTTGATAGAAACAGCATTTGATAAAAAATTCAACGGGGCTACGCTCAAGTTAGGTCAGTTCGTTTGTGAATATATGATCCTTCCTCATAAATTTGAGAGAAGGGGCGAGAAGTTTGTAGTATCAATAAATTCATAAGCTTCGATTTCCATCTAGCTCCTTCTTCTCAAATATATGAAGAAGCATCATCTCTTCACAAACGTACTGACCTAACTTGAGCGTAGCACCGTTGAATTTTCTATCGAATGCTGTTTCTATCAAGTGTATTTTCTATCGAATATTTTTCCTATCAATTGTATTTTCTATAAATTATGTTTCTATCAAATATATTTTCTATCAAAAAACATTCGATCAAAAGACTTTTATCAAATGATTTCCTATCATTTGTCTTTCGATCAAATTTCCGCCACCCTTCAAAACCGTCTTTGAAAACCTCATCAAGTCCTCTTGCGACTTGGGATGGAATGGGATTGAGAGTTTTCTCTGATTGTTTTTATCCGTTTTAGTCGTAGAATTCCTGAGTGATAAGTTGATTTTTTGATGATGCTTTTTGTTTGTTTCTTGCATTCAAGGTTTTTTCTGGTAAGTGCTGAGAAAATGAGGTAGACATAAGTTAGGTATATTGATTCTTCACGTTGTTAATCCATAAGTTCATGTAGGTCATGATTATTGGTAATAATAATAGCAAAAATCCATACTTCCTTAAAACACTCGTATCTTCTCTTGAAAGTGAGACATTGACGAGAATGGAAAAGAAGGGATCACACTTCAATCAAAAGCATGATGAAGTCAGAGTCACTGATGAAGCCATGTTCAACCATCCTAATTTGCTACAGGGCGTTAAGAACTAAAGGGTGTATAATGATCAAGTCGTCAGCTCCTCACGAAAACTAATATTAGGCTAAGGTTCCGGAACATGAATATGCGATTTGATTGGAATTTCACAAAAAGCGGACGAATATTAGAAAGTTACAGAGTGAACAATTTGGACAAAATCTTTGGTTACCGGTTTATTTTGCCGGTGATTGTATAAATGGATTATAAAGAATTTTTCAATTTCAGGTGAAAACTGAGAAGCAAGAGTTCCATGAAGCTGAAGAATTATACAAAAGAGCCATGGAAATAGATCCAGAAAACGCATCTGTGTACGTCCACAGAGGTCTGTTACTGCTGCAATGGAAAGGGGAAATTGAAAATGCAGTACAACTGATGAGGGAGGGTATTAGGATTGATGAGAAATCTGAATTCGCTTATGAAACTCTGGGAACAGTTGAAGTGCAGAGGTGAGTTGCCCTTTGTTTCCCTAATGTTGGTACCACTGTGATAAAAGGTTATTTCCCACTCTCTCAATACAGGGTGTTAGATACAAAGACCTATTATCCCAAGAAGGCAGAATGGGGGGTTGTACAGTGTGGCCCATAAAATAAGTAACGACTCTTGAGTTATGTTAGTATATTTCTGTTTAAGTCCACGTATGATTTATCGTCTAGGTACAATAACAGTTTACTGGAGGGTCTTCCTCATTAGCATTTTATTTCAACACCTGATTCAAACCTTTTGGAACATTTGAAATAAGCGTCACTGATAAACTCAATAGAATAAAGTGGTCGGCGGAGCACTCTTGAGACTAACTCCTCATAATCTTCTAGTCTATAGTTGTCTCAGCAGTTTGATGGTCTTTAGGACTATTGTACAACTCAAAACACTACCTAATCAATCATTAAGTTTAATTTGAGTATACGGGGTATAATATCAACCTGCACGACTCTATCTGAACTGTCATTGCAAGCACATGCGCCGTTACAACTTCCGCCTCTGCAAATTATCTTGTACAATGTTTGTGTGTTGTATTTGAAACGATTATTTTTTTTCACCGTTTTAGGAAAAACACTTCACTTTATTGGTAGCAAAATTGAGATAGCAAATTAAATTTGCGCCCTTCTAATCAATGCGCTGACTACAAGCAAGATGAGCTTACATCATATACATTTCAATCTATAAGTGTTTATTAGTAAATAAACCGTTCGAATTATTAACCAAGGTTTTTTTCGAGGAGGAATAGTTTCACCAGTATAATACCAAATGATTGGCTAGAATCACACATTGTTATTGGTTGACATCATTAATCTCAGATTTTGACTAGTGAAAAAAAAGAATCATGTTGATCTGTTCCACAAATTTGGAAATTAACCAGTCCAACGCACATCAAAAGTAATTTGACAAAAATGGTGAATAACTGACTTTGCTTGAGCTTCTGCCGTAACGGTGGTAACTTTTCACGAAATTTTATATTTTAGTTTGGTATGCATGATGTTATTCGAACATTATGGGACTTACCTTTCATGCGCGCCAAGATTAAAAATGAAACCGATTTTCGATTCACCATCTGAAAATTAGGAAGTTGTAATATGTACAATAACTTCCTGTACAAGCACCTGTAACCAGGTTGAATCATTTTTGATAGCTATTGCATTTAGAATTTTTGTTTCTTATTTCAGAGGAAATTTAGTTATCGCAATTGACTTATTCAATAAAGCGATAGCCTTAGCAAGATCGGAAATGGAAATGGTTCATCTCTTTTCCCTGAGAGATGCAGCAGCCTCTCAATTGAAGATTGCTTCCAAATTAGGTGTGGGACCCGATCTGCTCAAAGGAGTATCTTAATCTGATTGTGTTCAGTTTTTTTGACTATATTTTGTCATGAAATATATTGAAAATTATTTTGTCTTATGTTGTTACTGTAAATACAAGTCATTCCGAAATTAAAAATTTCTAGTTGTTACTATATTGGTTTATTTTATATGAAGGGATCGTTATATGTTTCTTTGAGAAACATTTCAGGAAACTCATCTTATGATGATATAAGCACATCCAAAAACTAAATGTAAACAGTAACAGACCGCTTTGGGAGCTTTCAGAAACCGCGTTTATCAATGGTAAGCTTATTGGGCCATTTTATCTTCAATATCGGATGACTGTCGAAAATAAACTCAAATAAACACAACAATGTTCTCGATCCACTCAAAAATGTGCCTTTATGATTAGAAAATGTGGTTTCGCCGTACGATTTTTAGACTATTAAGGCACCAATTCACGTACAATACAGGCCGCCATCAGGCAGTGGACTGACGGTCGACATTATTCAGTCCGCCTGAGATGAAGCCTCCAGGTTTCGACCGGATCCGATGACGGCGTACAGAATATAGCAAATAATATTAAATATGATTACTTTCAAAAAAGAAGAAAATTAGTCTCTCTATTGACAGTTTTATTACTATTAGAGAGGCCAATTCAACAAAGGAAGCGATTTTGGATTGAAGATTAGCTTTTTGAAAGACAATGGCCTTATATCACAAAAAAATGTATTTCACCACCGCAAACCGTTTCTTCCTGTGAGCTCCCCACGTTTTATAAAAAATTATTGAAATCCCCGATTTTTCGGACCTCTGAAAACGAGGCGATGATGTGACGTCAAAACCATAATACTGAAACAAGACTATTCCAGACAGAGATGAATGATACATGATTTCTGACAGAGTGAATTAGCGCGAGATCACAGTTGAAAGAATCAATATATCAGTTGCCTCAGTCTCCGTCGGGCGTTTGGTATTTTCTTTTAATTATGGCGAGATGAGGTTTCTACGTCATAAGAGGATCCGTTTTCAGAAGGTACTATTATTTATGTCCAAAAATAAAACATTCCAGTTAATTTTTCGATCGAATTATATCGTCAATCATTATTTATGTATAAAAGGATCATTATAAACATGGTTTGAGTTAAAAGTTCTACTAAGGTGTACACGCCCATTTGTCACACATGAAACTAATTGAAAAACTTCGTACCTATCTGATAGTACTAAATGTTGGGTAGGTACATATAATTCCTCAGTACCACTTCCTCTTATTAACTTTTTTCTCTTCCTCTCGAAAAGGATAATTCCTGAGATTATTGATTTTATTTTTCACCGTGTCTATTGTTACATTTTTATCAACACTTTTATGACATCCATGCATATTCCACTAAGCAAATTTGAAAGCTATGTTGATGCAAGGTTGTAGCAATTACTGAAACGGACGTTCAGCAATATTGAAAATGTATATTTGCAAATTTAATGTTCCAGCAATGTCACAGCAACATGTAATATTGCTGCAACGCTACATTAACAAACTTTACCTTTGCAATAATATTGCTGAACGTCCGCTTCAGTAATTGCTCAACTTTGAATCAACATAGCTTTCAACTTTGCTTATAGTGGGATGCTTCATCGTGCAATTGTCTTATTTGAATACAATTTTTATTTAACTTCCCATAAAGGTGGATGACTTCTATAAATATCAAACCTGTGATAAATGTAGGTTTGTCGCATCCGTTTTCACTCATTTTGATTGAAATATTGCAAATTAATGAAGCAAATTTCGAATTGAATTGAAGTTGAGACCTTCAGTCACGGACTGACGATAGAACACACACAATGGAAATGCAATGGATTTCGATTGCCTGCAGATCTGTACCTGTCGTCGGACGGTGTGACTCGTATCGAATCCCATCTACTGTTTTTCGGTCAAAGTTCTTGATCCTACGGCCTACTTGACAGAAGGATTCTTTTCAATATCGCGGAATATAGGTCGCTTTTACCCGTTAGATGGCGAAATCTCAACCAAAATTCAAAGCTGGTAGATCTGATGAAAATTAAAATTCCCCAAAATTACAGTTTCATACTTTCAAATTCAATATCATTTGATTTGAGGTTATGTTATGAATGTTACGTTATTATTTCTGGTGCAAGCGGTGTGTAAGCGCCGTTTTTTGTCATGAAAGAAATCTGTAAAAAGTGTCGCCATCTACTCGAAATCTACAAATAACTAGTTCTTGCAAGCTCTATACGTCAGTTTCATTTAGTAGATCTTGTTGGAGTTGAGACAAAATTGTTAGCTCAAAAATTTCGAATACAAATATTCATATTGGGAAAAGAAGTGTAAGAAAGACATTGGCTAGATACTAGCTTGTAGGTGATTCCGATCGACACGCCGGTTTTTAAAAATAACATCGTTTTATTTCATTCAGAATTATATACATAAAAGGATATAACAGGCATTTCCTAGTCAGTCTATAATTGATTTATATCAATCTACGAGTACTCGAATATAAAGACATATCTTCAAATGAATGTGATAATCAGATCATATTCAAAGCTATGAATAGAAAACAACTTCCACATATAAAACTTGATAGTAGAAATATAATATTTATTCACTAGGGTGATGAAGCCAACACTACGAATCGACATATGTATAATTCCCATTCACTACAATGCCCTAACGAACACTGGACAGAATGATATAACTGACATTCACTACAGTGCCCTAACGAACACTGGATAGAATGATATAACTGACATTCACTACAGTGCCCTAATGAACACTGGACAGAATGATGAAACAATAATGATAATAATACAAAAGAATAAACATATGAATATAACATTATAATATTCATAACCTTGCCCAATAACATGCATAGGTATCTTCGTATACCTGTCTTCAACAGTTATATGATAATTTCACAAAGGGGAAAGGTACTCACGGTTTCCACTTAAGCACACTGAATTGTAACAATAAATATAAATAAACACAATAATATCAGAGAACAAAGCCACTACCCTAATAATAATTTCGAAGCGGTCAAACGATAACTGAGCTAACGTAACTCGCTCACACCCGCTTGCTCACTGTGTCGGTATTTTGCCTTGCGCCACCAGCTCAGCTTTTACAGTGACGCATGGTAATATTATGTGTAACAACTGTACTGGGTGTCCCGCGGGTGTTTCTTACAGAAGATATTATATTACATTATTCTCGTGTAGAACTTGGACTAATTCCATAATAGGAGTTTCTGCTTTAGTCTCTAGAAGAGAATAGTTATTTGTTCAACTAGGCAGCAAAATAGTAGATTGACTGCCGTGGCTGAATTCATAGCCGAGCGTAGCGAGGCTAGGAATCCAGCTAAGGCAGTCAATCTACTTTGCTGCCGAGTTGAACATATAATTTTTTCTGCGATTGTTCATAATGATATGGGAGAATATTGTATTTGCGAATTAATACAATTCCCACAATCTCTTTATTCTTCCTGTATAGTGTTCAATTAAAATAAAATTTTATAGAAATCGCAGTTGTTGGTTTGACAATTCATGAAATTTCTGACAGTTGTGCGAAAAAATATCGGTATATTTAAATTATTATATAATGAAAAGTGATAGCGACCTGGAAGTATACTCACACCTCCATTAATAAGGGAGGTGTCAAAAAATATAGAGTTGAATTTGTTGCCGGAGAAGTCTCGGATGAAAAATGAAGGAAATTATAAACGATTTATGGATTTTAAATTTTGCTGATACATATCAATCAGCAAAGTAACCACTTTGCTGCCTAGGCAGGAAAAGTAATACTTTGCTGATTGATTTGTGTCAGCAAAATTAATATTTGCTGCCAATCGGAGGAAAAACTGTTTTTTCAGATGAATAACATTCGTCAGAAACAAATTTGTCCGGATCCTCTACATACTTTTTTTGTAGCTTAGTTGCCAATTTGATCAAATTTTCATCCTCTGCTGACACTATCTTGAACAGAAAGTCAAATGATTCTGAACAAGATTTGTAGGTGAAAGTCCGGCAAAAATTTCAAATCTGCAACTTAAAATAAAACACTGTGTCCGCCATTTTTCTCTCTTGTTTGAACTTATTTCCGCATTTTTTTCTCCTAATTGTGCTTTTCTTGGGATGATTCACTTCTTAACATAAATTTCAGTTTAGGTAGGTAATGTAGTGATCAAATCTTTCGCGTAAAAAATCAAAATATTCAGATAATGACTGATGACAAAAGATGTGCAGTCGTATTTTCATATAGCCGCCCTGAAGATTTTGCCTAATAAAAGACCCCTGGTAAAACCAGCACTGCCTGAGAGATGAAGCTTCCAGGTTTCGGTCGGACAGGTCGCAGACTGCAGGCGACCTCAAGTGTCTGTTCGTTTGTATTGCTGAACTTGCTTAAGTTGATTTTTTCCCATAGTTGTCTCTGTTCATGACATGATGTAGACAGAGAGTCATAGAAAAAATCAAGTTCAGCAGGTAGAGCAAGCACAAACGAACAGTCCTCAAATTTTACTATACACGTCAGTCCAATTGATTCGATGACGACGTACAGAATATAGCAAAAATTATTAAATATTATGACTATTAGTAGTGATACTATAAGTACTTCAAAATATTTCGAGTTATACATCGATAACTTGTTGAATAATTACAAAGAGTGCCAGTTTGACAGTTGAAATATTCCGACCGCGAATCGGGAGGATTATTTTGTTAAACGGACACGATTTGTTATTATGCAGGAAGTTTGAGATGTATAACCTTGAATAGTTTGAAGTTCGAATTGTATTCGATGCGATTATTTTTTGATCATTGTCTGAACAATCTTCAACATTTTACGACGCGCTTTGTTTGTATTTAACAATATCAATTGGTTACCATGGAAATAATTCTGAATTTCTGATTGGTGGAGTTACTCTATGTATATCCAGGTATATTCGTTATTATACAAGGTAGCTTCACTCAATTGAACGTTACGATTGTTTAAATCATACGAAGAAAATAATCGAAAAAGAAAAG